AGCTCAGATGAAGTGAAAGATGAATTTTACAGAAAGCTGTCCGAACTTCTTCAGAAAGCTAAACGCTCAGACATAGTACTCGTAGCAGGTGATTTTAATGCTCAGATAGGCAGTTTAAACCAAACAGAAAGGCATTTAGGTGGATATTTTAGTATTCCGACACAGCGAACAGATAATGGTGATCGTCTGCTGCAGCTGTGCTCAGACAATCGTTTATTTTTAGCAAACACAAATTTTAAGCATAAGGAGAGACATCGTCTAACATGGCGACTCCCTACACCAAACCAACGATGGAATCAAATAGACCATATTGCCATCAGTCATCGTTGGAGAGGGTCGGTAGAAGATTGTCGCTCATTCTGGAGTACCTGCTTGGACTCCGACCATGCCCTAATACGGGCACGCATCTGCTTGCGCCTCACTGGACGCAAAAAAGCCACATTAAAAAGACCCGTTAGAACTGAGTTGAGTAACGAGAAAACCAAAAGTAGGTTCCAGGAACAACTGAGGTCACACTTAGGTAGTTGTGAAGACGAGGCTGACCCAGATGTTGCTTGGAAGGGCATACAATCAGCTGTGGAAACAGCAGTGACATATATTAGTGACTTAAACCACAGAGTTGCAAGGAACCAGTGGATTTCTTCAAGGTCTGTCACACTGATGGATTCTCGCAAACTCGTCCCATCAGGTTCTGAACATGATGAAGAGCGTAAAGAAATCAGATCTAGGTTAAGGAAAAGTCTAAGGAACGACCGTGAGCAGTGGTGGGTAACGAAAGCAAAAGAGATGGAAAAGGCGGCGACTATAGGGAACACAAGACAGCTTTACAGACTAATAAAAGAAACTGGAATTAATAAGTCAAGTGTAAGTGAGATTATATCGGAAAAAGACGATACTCTCATCTGCTCCCAGTCCAGACGTTTAGAACGATGGGCGGAACATTTCAGAGAACAGTTCAGCTGGCCTTCAGCTACTCTACAACTACCCACCATTACCAGACAATGTGAATGGAACATTGAAGTAGGTCCCCCAACTCTTGCTGAGGTTCAAAAGGCTATAGTTAATCTGAAACGAGGAAGGGCAGCTGGTCCAGATGGATTGGCCCAATTTTAGCGATTAGGTTGACTAATATTTTAGCTAAGATCTGGGAATTAGACTTTATCCCATCTGACTGGTCGCAATCACTTATCGTCCCAATATATAAGAAAGGGTCAAAATCATCCTGTGATAACCATAGAGGGATTAGTTTAACAAACATAGTATCTAAAATACTGGCCTCGATAATTATCAAACGCCTAACTAAGACTCGTGAACTAAAAACTCGAGAGAACCAAGCTGGCTTTAGACCTGGTCGTGGCTGCATCGACCACATATTCACCATTCGTCAGGTTCTAGAACACAGGCATACCTATCGGCGTCCGACGATGGTGGTCTTTCTTGACTTAAAAGCAGCATTTGACTCTGTAGACCGCGAGACTCTGTGGCAGTGTCTATCATTGAAAGGCATACCTTAGAAGTACATTAACCTTGTGAAGGCTCTTTACTCGAAAACTACTAGTCGAGTCAGGGCTTATGGCGAACTGTCATCTACTTTTGCAACCTCAAGTGGTGTCCGTCAAGGCTGCCCACTTTCTCCATTTTTGTTTAACTTCATCATAGACCTATTGATGGAAATAACACTCGTCGACTGAATTCTCGGGTATTGATCTCCTTCCAGGAGGTCCACTTATCGACTTAGAATACGCAGATGACATAGTCCTGTTTGGTGAAGACGCTGACAAAATGCAGAGTCTTCTGGTAGCATTAAGCAACAATGCCAGAATGTTTGGGATGCGCTTCTCTCCCTCTAAATGCAAGTTGTTGCTTCAGGACTGGTCTGCGTCAACACCTGAACTAAGGATAGGGAGTGAAGTAGTCGAACGCGTTGACAACTTCACTTATCTTGGAAGTCTGATCAGCCCTAATGGGTTGGTGTCTGACGAAATCTCAGCACGGATTCGAAAAGCTCGTTTGGCTTTTACCAACTTACGTCACCTTTGGCGGAGGCGAAATATCCGTCTATCAATAAAAGGACGAGTATACTGCGCGGCAGTCCGTTCTGTCTTACTTTACGGCAGCGAAACATGGCCTTTAAGAGTAGAAGACACCCGTAAGCTACAAGTATTTGACCACAGATGCCTTAGAAATATTGCTGGCATCTGCTGGGATCACCGGGTAAGTAATAGTGAGGTTAGACGCAGGGTATTAGGGAATGATGGTAAATCAGTTGATGAGTTTATGAATCTTCATCGACTGAGATGGTTGGGCCACGTATTACGTATGCCTGGACACCGATTACCACGACGTGCAATGCTAACCGGTGTTCGGGATGGTTGGAAAAAAGTTAGGGGCGGCCAAACCAAAACGTGGCATCAGTGCTTGAAGTCACTAACTTCTAGTCTGAGCCATGTTGGTAGATACAGACTACTTGGTTGGGGTCCGCGTGACTATCGTAACCAATGGTTGGAGACTCTTGGTGACATGGCTCAGAATCGATCACAATGGCGTCGGTGTATACACTCTCTATCTTCCCTTAAACTAAGAGATTAAAATCACTTCATATCTTTCTTTCTACTAACTAATTCTTTCTTCCTATACTATATCCTTATTGCAATCTTTCTCCTATATATTACCACCTTTGACCTAAGCACTCCTATGAATCCGGTGTTCATCTTGCTGTGCTAATGAGGTATGGCAACCTGGACCGATGCACATATGTGCCTGGTCCTACGTTGTAGCTGACTGACTGAGCAGTAGTGAGCAATGGAAACAAAAGAGATGGAAAAGGCGGCGACTGTAAGTAACACAATACAGCTCTTCAGACTAACAAAAGAAACTGGGAATAAGAAGTCAGATGTAAGGGACAATCTCGGAAAAAGACCTCACTTATCTGTTCTCAGCCCAGATGTTTAGAACGATGAGCGGAACACTTTAGAGAACAGTTTAGCTGGCCTTCAGCTACTCTACAACTACCACGATTCCCAAACAGCCTAAATGGAACAATGAAGTAGGTCCCCTAATCTAGTTGAAGTTCAAAAGGCTATAGTTAATTTGAAACAAGGAAGAGCAGCTGGTCCAGGTGGATTAGCTCCAGAGGTCTTTAAGTATGGTGGTCCAATTTTAGCGATTAGGTTGAATAATATTTTAGCTAAAATCTAGGAGTTGAACGTCATCCCATCTGACTGGTCACAATCACCGATTGTCCCAATGTATAAGAAGGGGTCAAAGTTGTCAAGTGATAATCATCGGGGGATTAGTTTAATTAACATAGTATCTAAAGTCCTAACCTCAATAATTATTGGGCGCCTAAGACCCATGAACTGCAAACACGAGAAAATCAGACTGGCTTTAGGTCTGGTCGTGGCTGTATCGACCACACATTCACCATTTGTCAGGTTTTAGAACACAGGCATGCTTATCGGCGTTCAACAATGATGGTCTTTTTTTTTTACTTCAAAGCAGTATTTGACTCCGTAGATCGAGAGGTTCTATGACAGTGTCTGTCATTGCAAGCTTAACCTCAGAAGTTCATAAACCTTTTGAAGTCTCTTTACTTGAACACCACCGGTCGAGTCGGAGCTTATGACGAACTGTCATATGATTTTGCAACCTCAAGTGGTGTCCGGCAAGGCTGTCAGTTATGTCCATTTTCGTTTAACTTCATCATAGACATACTGCTGGAAATAACGTTTTCGTCGACTGAATTTTCGGGCATTGATCTCCTTCCAGGAGGTCCACTTATGAACTTAGAATACGCAGATGACATAGTCTTGTTTGATAAAGACGCTGATAAAATGCAGTCTTTTGGTCGCACTGAGCAACAATTCCAGGATCTTTAGGATGCGTTCCTCCCTCTCTAAATGCAAGTTGTTGTTTCAGGACTGATCTGCGTCAACACCTGAACTAAGGATAGGGAGTGAAGTAGTCTGATCAGCCCTAATGGGTTGGTGTCTGATGAACCCTCAACACGGATTCAGAACGCTCGTTTGGCTTTTGCTGACTTGCGTCACCTATGGCGAAGGCGAGATATCCGTTTATTAATTGAGGGACGAATATACTGTGTAGTAGTTCGTTCTGTTCTACTTTATGGCTGCGAAATGTGGCCACTAAGAGTAGAAGATACTCGTAAGTTGTTAGCATTTGATCAACGATGTCTTAAAAATATCGCTCGTATCTGCTGGGATCGCCGGGTAAGTAATAGTGAGGTTAAACGTAGGGTATTGGGGAATGGTGGTAAATCAGTTGATGAGGTTGTGAATCTTCGTCGACTGAGGTGGTTGGGTCACGTGTCACGTATGCCTGAACATCGACTACCACTACGTGCAATGCTGATTAGTGTTGGCGATGATTGGTAGAGAGTTAGGGGGTGGCCAAACCAAAACGTGGCATCAGTGCTTAAAGTCACTAACTCCTAGTCTGATCTATGTTGGTAGATGTAGACCACTTAGTTGGGGTCCGCGTAACCATCGTAACCAATGGTCGGAGTGACATGGCTCAGAATCGATCACAATAGAGTAAGTGTATACATTCTTTGTTTTCCCTTAAACGATGACATTAAAATTGCTTAATATTTTTCTACCAACCAAGTCTTTCTTCCTGTGCTATATCTTTATATGCAATCCTTCTTTTATATATTACCACCATTGAATTAACTACTTCTATGCATTCGGTGTTCATCTTATTGTGCTAATGAGGTGTGGCAACTTGGACCGATGCATATATCTGCCTAGTCCTACGTTGTAGCTGACTTACCAACTGATTTCGAGAGGAAGAGCTGACTGTCCCCACCCTCGGCCGTACCGGGGCATTTGGGGGCAATAGTATGTACTACAACTAATGTTGAAGTGTTTATATATGTACAGTTTGTATCAACTTCTTAAACTCCCAGTTTTTATTTGTTTTTACTTTTCCAGATATTTAACAACTTTTGGTCATACCGTACACTCAACTAATGATTAGCTATGAATTTTTCCCAGCTTGATAAAGTTCGATCTTTAATTGAAGTGGACCATTGTTACACATCTTCAAGTAGAAGTAATTGTGATAGTGATAACGAAATATTCAACTTGTCACCTTACCATTCAAAGTAACTTATTGCTATTCTCTTTTTAAATCTTGATAGTCTTGAAGTAGAAGAAAGTTGCTTAGATGTTGGTGGGCCTGCTCCTAGATGTTCATTTGAAGAGGAAAGAGTTCATCAAAATCTATCATTCACTAATTGTTCGTCTGTGCCTGAGTTATGCCAAAGGTTTCCTACAAAACAACCCAAAGGTTGCCTTAGTTAATAATTCTTATTGCTCAAAAACGTTATAGATGATAACCATACGTGGGTTTTGTGTGAAAGAAGGCATTTGAATCAGATTTTATCATCTCTCAGAAAAGTTTTGAGAAATGAATACTTTTACTGCTCTCAAGTTCGCATTTATTATGTTATTTGCTTTATTAATCTCAGTTTCATGATATTAAACGCCTGAATGTATACAAGGAACTTAGTCTTCATCGTGCTGCTAATACTCTGAGAAGAATATTCGCTGACCTTTTTTGGGTACGATTACTTATGGAATTTTAAATGCCTCTCATTGCAACTACTGTTATGCTTATATATATATATATATATATATATATATATATATATATATATCCACTACCTCGTCATAGTAACCGAACTTAACTGTTGTGATAATTCATTAAACCTAAAATTCTTGATGGTTAAGGTCCCCTGGTAATGAAATTTGGGTGTATTTTTATTGTCACAGGATTGGTAATTAGACTATAACACCTCTGATGGCTATGTTACACCACTTACCTTACCGAGTTTCTGTGACATTTAAGTTATCAGAATACAAAGTATAAGCAATGTAGTTGTTTATGAATCTTGTAAACATGATACAGACTGTTACTTACACTAGGCCATTTTTTATACGAATGCGCAATGGTATATGTATCATATGTTGATTGTTAAAAGTTTCCTGAAAATCGGATAAAGATGACAAGACCGGTGCACGAAAACATCGAGTGTTAGTTTGAATAGTAGTGAAGAGCTGTGGACTTCATTACTTGTCTAGACACATCCACATTGGTACAAATGGCACCAAAATAGATATGCGCCATACAAACCAGTGAATTCGTGTGAACTGATATACTTTCCGGGTGCCCAGATACAAATAGTTTCCTTAAGGGGCTACTCCCCAAGCCTTTGACATAGAGGTCGGATTCACAAGGCAACGCTAGGAGATGCGGTCTCACGATAGTCGGTGACCAACAATAGGTTAGTACGCCATTTTCTCATTCAGGATCCTGGAGTCCATGTGCACCATTGGTTTGGAATTAGGGTTTCCTAACCCCCCTTGGTGGATCCTCTGTATCCGTCAACTCGGTCCAAGCGTCGAACATTCGCTTTTCATCCTCTCAGTTTCGTAAACAACGACCTCACTGAAGAAAGACATTGAGTAGGACTTACCTGGTAGTGGCTGTATACGCGTGGTCATGCGAGAGCATTTCTAGAAGAAGAGCAAACTCTCTCCACCCTCGACCATACCACAGCATTTAAAGGCTGTGTTGGTAGCCGCAGAGTAACCGCTATCAGTGGTTGAAGGCTTTGGGTGACATGTTTCAGGATCGATCTCAATGCCTCAGAAACATCCACTCTTTGTTTTATCCTAGGTCTTGAGTTCCAGTATTCCTTTCATATATGCATTTTTATTCCTTTTCTCCAATTCCTAGTATCTCTTAATATCATTGGTATTCTAGTTATTTGTAGTCCTTTGGTACTCTTGTTGTTGATTTTGCCTCGTACTGGTTTATTATGGCAATTTAAACCAATGCGTATTTGGGTTTTGCTTTATGTTGATTACAACTGAGTGACATTCTAAAGTGTATTGTGTAGGTAGAGTAAACAAAATATTAGACTCTTCTAGTTGTTTCTGTTTTTAACCATAAAGTCAATTTGATTGAATAAATTAAAAAACTTAAAGTTCAACAAGTAGTTCACTAAACTACGAAGAGATTATTTACCAACTTTAACGCATTTCGAGTTACACGGGAATCACTGAAATGAACTTGACTTAAGGACTGTTGAGTAATGAGTGGTAGGATAGAGAGATTCTATGTGCTTTATAGTTTATTTCGTAAGGCTTTGGTGATAACTTTGCCGGTGATAAATTTCTCAATTCAAAAGATTTGCTGCTATTTATGTAAAATTAAAAGCATCAGCAGTTCTTACTTAACTCTACTCCAACCCTTTTATTTGATTGTAAGCAGTCAAAATACAAAGTTTGAAGTTCGTACTAAAGTTGTAAAAGGCGAAAGATTTATTCGCAAATGAGGAGACACCAGAGCCCCCAAATGCCCTGGTACGGCCAAGAGTGGGGGGAGTCAACTCTCTCTCTCGCAATGCTCTCACATTGCCACGTGCATACAACCACTATCAGGGAAGTCCTACTCACTGCTTTCTTGTGGTGGGGGTGTTGTTTACGAAATTGGTCGTATGCACGTGGTCACATGAAAGCATTACTAGTGAGAAAGTGAATTACCATAACATCATGAGCAATTTTATTAGATTTAATTTTCTCTCTATTGGGAGCCTTCTTGTACATATGTTAATGTGTTTAAATAAATAAATAAATAAATGAACCAAAGTGTACTTTTTGCTGTTAGTCATACGAAACAGTTATTGAAATCTTGTGTCTATGGAAATTACTTTTCTCACTTCGAAAAACAATCAATTGATTCAAATTATTATTATTACTATTATTGTCATTATTATTATTATTATTATTATTATTATTATTATTATTATTATTATTATTATTATTATTATTATTATTTTCCACGTTATTCACCCTCTTTTATACTCATACAGCGGCTCGTCTTTGGTGGAAATTCGACTGTATCTAAACGTTCTCGAGTCACTGTCCGGTTGAAAATTGTATGTTACCACCGAATACGAGAACTGAAGCAGTTTTTCTGAAACCACGTGCGTCATTCAAACTGGCTGCTATCAACGTTCGAACACTTATGCAGGTCGGACAACAGATAGGGCTGGCCATGTCTTTGGAAAGTCTTAATATTGATGTTTGTTGTCTGTCCGAGACCCGTATTCAAGACTCTGACGAAGTACTACAAATTCGATCTCCATCTGTCGCTTCGAAAAGCTTGTTTTACGTGCGCTTATCCGGGGACTCTGTGGCATCTTCGGCTGGTCTTGCTGGCGTTGGTGTCGCACTAAGCGCTAGAGCTGAGGCAGCACTAATCGATTGGATCCCCATTAACAGTCGGTTATGTGCTGTTAGATTGGAAAGTTCCATCAAAGTGAGAAGAAATCGGCGTGAGAAACGATGTCTTTTCGTCATCTCCGCCTATGCCCCGACAAATTGCAGCCCGGATGCAATCAATGATGAGTTTTACCACCAGTTATCTGTTCTTCTCCAGAAAGTGCGTTCGACAGATATTGTGGTACTAGCCGGAGACTTGAATGCTCAGGTCGGGCGTCTAGGCACAGAAGAGAGTCGTTTAGGTGGCCGATGGGGACTCGTTGGTCGCAGGTCAGATAACGGGGACCGTCTACTGCAACTTTGCACAGACCACAACCTGTTTCTGGCTAGCACTAACTTTCGGCACAGTCATCGCCGATGTGCCACCTGGCGTCCTCCCTCTGCATCTCAAGCCTGGACTCAGATTGATCACATCGCGATCAGCTACCGCTGGCGTGGTTGTGTACAAGACTGCCGCTCGTTTTGGAGTACCTATCTGGACTCTGACCATGCCTTGGTCTGCGCCAATCTTGCCTTACTTTTCAGTGGCCACCGAAGTGACCGCCATCAACGGATTGATATCAGCAAGCTGGTTTCAACTTCTGTTGCAAGTAAGTATCGAATCGAGCTAGTTTCTAGGCTAGCTACCATTCCATCGAAAAGCATGGGTCAGCAGTGGTTGTAATTGCATAACGCCATGAAAATGGCGGGTACAGTCAGTTGTGGGTTTGCGAAACGTCCCGCTTATAAGCACTGGGTTTCTACAGGCTCCTTACAACTTATTGAAACCCGTCGGTCTACTCCGGGTGACCGTGAGTTTGACCATAAGCGAAGGATGTTACGTAATCAAATCGGGCAAAGCTTGCATAAGGACCGAGAAGCCTGGTGGTCGGAGCGTGCTAATGAGCTGGAAGCAGCAGCTGCATCTGGTAACTACCGGAAGCCCTTCCAATTCATCCGAACCACTGGCAGCAAGAAGTCTGGTGTGAGCGAAGCAATCTGCGAGGATGACGGGATGCCAATCACTAACATCCATCGACGTCTTGGACGATGGGCAGAATTTTTCGAAGGGCAGTTCAACTGGCCTGCTGCTCCGGCAACATCGGTCAGACTGTCCTGCCCTCCATGGCCGGTGACGACTGATCCACCAAACGAGGAGGAAGTCCGCAAGGAACTCCAACTCTTGAAACGCTACAAATCACCGGGCCCAGATGACTTACCTCCGGCTCTTTTTAAAGATGGTGGTGACTTTTTGACTAAGGAATTGACGACGTTGTTTACAAAGGTCTGAGAACTAGAGAGTGTACCAACGTCATGGAGTGAGTCGATAGTTGTCTCTATCTTTAAAAAGGGTTCACTTCGTTCCTGTAACAACTATCGGGGGATAAGTCTACTTCCGATTGCGTCCAAGCTATTGGCTTCCGTCATACTTCGTAGACTGTTCAAAACCCGAGAAAGATTGACTCGCGAGGAGCAGGCTGGGTTTCGTTCTGGTCGAGGATGTATTGATCATATTTCACCCTCCGCCAAATGTTAGAACACCGCCATACTTATCAAAGGCCAACAATCGTAGTGTTTCTTGACATCAGGGCTGCCTTTGATTCGTTGGACAGGACTGTTCTTTGGGATTGTCTATTGAAAAAGGGTGTGCCTGAGAAGTTTATTAACATTTTAAAGGCCCTGTATACAAATACCTCAGGCAGAGTGAGAGCATACAACCACCTCTCTCCATTGTTCCATTCGAGCAGTGGGGTTAGGCAGGGTTGCTCAATCTCACCATTCCTCTTCAACTTTGCCATCGATGACATTCTGGAAACAGCTCTGATGAGTGTAAGTAATGGTGGTGTGGATCTGTTGCCTGGAGAAAGACTTCTCGACCTTGAGTATGCGGACGATATTGTCTTACTGTGCGATAATGCCCAAGGCATGCAATCCGCACTTAATCAGTTGGCAATCAGTGTCCGTAGGTATGGTATGTGCTTTGCACCTTCGAAGTGCAGAGTACTTCTACAAGACTGGCAGGATCCTAATCATGTACTCACCCTGGATGGTGAGCAGATAGAAGTAGTCGAGAAGTTCGTGTATCTGGGTAGCTGCATAAGTGCTGGTGGGGGTGTGAGTGATGAGATCAATGCACGTATAGTGAAAGCCAGAGCGGCTTATGCCAATCTGGGCCACCTTTGGCGCCTTCGTGATGTTAGTCTGGCTGCAAAAGGTCGGATTTACAACGCGTCAGTGAGAGCAGTTCTGCTCTATGCTTGTGAAACCTGGCCTCTCCGAGTTGAGGACCTGAGACGACTCTGTGTTTGATCATCATCGTCTCCGAAGGATAGCTGACATCCAGTGGCAACACCATGTTAGTAATGCAGAGGTTCGGCATCGTGTGTTCGGGCACAGAGATGATAATGCCATTGGTGTCACCATCTTGAAACATCGACTTCGGTGGCTTGGACATGTTCTACGAATGTCGTCCCAGAGAATTCCACGTCGTGCATTATTTGTTGACGCTGAGACTGGTTGGAAAAAGCGGAGAGGTGGTCAGTGCATGACATGGTGTGGTGGTATGAAAGAAAGCTGCAAAGGACTGGCTTCTGTCGGTCCTTCACGACTCCCTGGTTGGGGTCTGAGAGATGGTGCTACACAGTGGCTAGAGACGTTATCAGATATGGCTCAGAATAGAAGCCAGTGGCGATCCTGCTGTAACCTTCTTTTACTTTCTTCATAAAAAGTGGTTGTGTCTCCCTTATCTGAAAGATTTCTTCTGATTGTACCTTTCCGTTCCCTCGTTACTACCACACTACCTTACGCCATTCTCTTCGTTATTGTTCTCTTTTTCTTTTGCGCTCCTTAGTTTTTTTTCTATTTCTCTTCGAATTCTCATTGTTTTGTGTGGCGCATATATATTGGCGCTCTTCTGTACCAATATTCATGTGTCCAAATAAATAAATAATAAATATTGCAGGGATAATACTTATATGTCCGGACAAAAACGTTATGTTCTTAAAAAATCGTCTTATTTTTTATAACAACAACAACTTTGTGGAAGTATTTTAGAAAAAAATACTCAATTCTTAGCCTCAGTAGCAGTTTTATCATGAAAGTTTGTATACAAGCTTTAATCAATATGATTTGTCTGCTCTAAATTTCTAAAAATAATTAGCAGTGCCATGGTGTGGATTCCAGTAAAGGAAACTAGATACCATCTGTGAATTGATTGGGTCGCTTAGTCCTGATGTTAATATGTTAGTGCTACAAAATATCACTAAATACGAGAACGCTCTGTAGACTTTTGTTATTGAATAAATTTAAACGGTACTAAATCCTTTCACACCTGTATGCCACACATTGTTATCGTGCAAATGCCTGTTACCTTCTACACTAACTCATTAGTAATCATTGTAACTGACCTTTTTCTCAAACTATGTGAAACTGACTTTTGACCAATCAAGAGACCACTAGATCCTAGTTGTCCGTGAATCTGATTGGATAAATACATATTCCTCATTTAGAGAGAACCGTTAGTCTTATACATGCATCTCTTTCGCATTTAAAATCCCATTCATACGAATTGCTAGTATTAATATCAATTGATAATCAGTAATATGTTTGATATTTCATCTTCACAAATATCTAAATTTTCAAATTTTTCTCAGCAAATTTTATTTCTTGTCTTAAAAAGATATTGTGTTCTTTTAATTTTATTAGCGCATAGAAAAATGTCACAGCATTCACCTATGGTGTGTGAAAAATCTTTCAGAAACTCTGTTACCAATTTATCGTTCAGTTTTTCGCATATTATGGAGAAAAAATAAGGTGAGCAGTGATAATAACTATTGTTCAATGTCCTAACACTTAAAATATATCTACAGTTGATTTACATTCATGTGTTATCCTTAAAGCCCGACCGTTGTTGCTACCTTGACGTGGTGGTCGGGCTTGCCTATCGTGATGAAGCGACCGAGCTATACTGGCTGGAACAACTGTTCCTCAAGGTCCTACCATGTCAGACAGGTCGGCTGAAGAGCGGTAAGACTAAAAGCAACAAACCCAAGGTCCGAAGGCGAAGTCGTACTGCTGACTGTACAGAGGTGTGACAGCAGTAAGGTGTTTCCTTCAGACAACCAGCATGACAGCGATGCTGCCTTCCCACAAGGAGGGGTGGGGTTAGAAAAGGTCGACCCTAAAAATGCACACCTCGCCTTGTCCCGCGGATATCCGTCTCCGGCGGTAAGGTCTCAATAAGTACGGAGCTAACACAAAAATTACCCATAACAAGGTCGTGTGTGACCGACCTCAAGCAGTTGTCCCTTGGGCACTGCGGTCACGCTCTCAGGTCACTAAGACCACCTCTAATCCAATTTCCTTTTCAGGTACCTCCAGAACAACCCTTCCACGGTGTGGGCATCCGGGAAGTGATAACCGCCCTCATACCTCTAACAGCACTCAAGACCACTGTATTCCTAATCAACCTCCGTCTTCACTTTCTATTATTCCTCCTACATCGACTTTCAACTCTAAACTTCCTTTTTCGGCTTCCTCCTCAAATGTCACCATAGCCAACGATTCTAGTGCGCAAAACACTGTCCCAGGTCTACTGAAACCTCGCTCCAAACTACACATTGGAGCCTTCAACGTACGCACCCTATGTCAAATAGGTCAACAGGCTTCCTTGGCTAGAACCCTAGAATCTCGTACCATTGATGTATGCTGTGTTTCCGAAACACGCATACAGGATCCCAATGTGGTCATTCACTTGACTTCACCTCGGCAAAACGGCGAGCCAACGAGATACACCCTCCGTGTATCTGGTGACCCGACGGCCAGCTCACGTAGACTGGCAGGAGTAGGCATGGCACTAAGCATGAGGACAGAACAAGCACTGTTAGAGTGGATCCCCGTTAACAGTCGTTTATGTGCTGTTCGGCGAAACGGCTCCGTAAGAACTCGGAAGGATAGGGACACACGTCGTTGCCTTTTCGTCGTTTCTGCCTACGCTCCCACTGACTGCAGCTCAGATGAAGTGAAAGATGAATTTTACAGAAAGTTGAGTAACGAGAAAACCAAAAGTAGGTTCCAGGAACAACTGAGGTCACACTTAGGTAGTTGTGAAGACGAGGCTGACCCAGATGTTGCTTGGAAGGGCATACAATCAGCTGTGGAAACAGCAGTGACATATATTAGTGACTTAAACCACAGAGTTGCAAGGAACCAGTGGATTTCTTCAAGGTCTGTCACACTGATGGATTCTCGCAAACTCGTCCCATCAGGTTCTGAACATGATGAAGAGCGTAAAGAAATCAGATCTAGGTTAAGGAAAAGTCTAAGGAACGACCGTGAGCAGTGGTGGGTAACGAAAGCAAAAGAGATGGAAAAGGCGGCGACTATAGGGAACACAAGACAGCTTTACAGACTAATAAAAGAAACTGGAATTAATAAGTCAAGTGTAAGTGAGATTATATCGGAAAAAGACGATACTCTCATCTGCTCCCAGTCCAGACGTTTAGAACGATGGGCGGAACATTTCAGAGAACAGTTCAGCTGGCCTTCAGCTACTCTACAACTACCCACCATTACCAGACAATGTGAATGGAACATTGAAGTAGGTCCCCCAACTCTTGCTGAGGTTCAAAAGGCTATAGTTAATCTGAAACGAGGAAGGGCAGCTGGTCCAGATGGATTGGCCCAATTTTAGCGATTAGGTTGACTAATATTTTAGCTAAGATCTGGGAATTAGACTTTATCCCATCTGACTGGTCGCAATCACTTATCGTCCCAATATATAAGAAAGGGTCAAAATCATCCTGTGATAACCATAGAGGGATTAGTTTAACAAACATAGTATCTAAAATACTGGCCTCGATAATTATCAAACGCCTAACTAAGACTCGTGAACTAAAAACTCGAGAGAACCAAGCTGGCTTTAGACCTGGTCGTGGCTGCATCGACCACATATTCACCATTCGTCAGGTTCTAGAACACAGGCATACCTATCGGCGTCCGACGATGGTGGTCTTTCTTGACTTAAAAGCAGCATTTGACTCTGTAGACCGCGAGACTCTGTGGCAGTGTCTATCATTGAAAGGCATACCTTAGAAGTACATTAACCTTGTGAAGGCTCTTTACTCGAAAACTACTAGTCGAGTCAGGGCTTATGGCGAACTGTCATCTACTTTTGCAACCTCAAGTGGTGTCCGTCAAGGCTGCCCACTTTCTCCATTTTTGTTTAACTTCATCATAGACCTATTGATGGAAATAACACTCGTCGACTGAATTCTCGGGTATTGATCTCCTTCCAGGAGGTCCACTTATCGACTTAGAATACGCAGATGACATAGTCCTGTTTGGTGAAGACGCTGACAAAATGCAGAGTCTTCTGGTAGCACTAAGCAACAATGCCAGAATGTTTGGGATGCGCTTCTCTCCCTCTAAATGCAAGTTGTTGCTTCAGGACTGGTCTGCGTCAACACCTGAACTAAGGATAGGGAGTGAAGTAGTCGAACGCGTTGACAACTTCACTTATCTTGGAAGTCTGATCAGCCCTAATGGGTTGGTGTCTGACGAAATCTCAGCACGGATTCGAAAAGCTCGTTTGGCTTTTACCAACTTACGTCACCTTTGGCGGAGGCGAAATATCCGTCTATCAATAAAAGGACGAGTATACTGCGCGGCAGTCCGTTCTGTCTTACTTTACGGCAGCGAAACATGGCCTTTAAGAGTAGAAGACACCCGTAAGCTACAAGTATTTGACCACAGATGCCTTAGAAATATTGCTGGCATCTGCTGGGATCACCGGGTAAGTAATAGTGAGGTTAGACGCAGGGTATTAGGGAATGATGGTAAATCAGTTGATGAGTTTATGAATCTTCATCGACTGAGATGGTTGGGCCACGTATTACGTATGCCTGGACACCGATTACCACGACGTGCAATGCTAACCGGTGTTCGGGATGGTTGGAAAAAAGTTAGGGGCGGCCAAACCAAAACGTGGCATCAGTGCTTGAAGTCACTAACTTCTAGTCTGAGCCATGTTGGTAGATACAGACTACTTGGTTGGGGTCCGCGTGACTATCGTAACCAATGGTTGGAGACTCTTGGTGACATGGCTCAGAATCGATCACAATGGCGTCGGTGTATACACTCTCTATCTTCCCTTAAACTAAGAGATTAAAATCACTTCATATCTTTCTTTCTACTAACTAATTCTTTCTTCCTATACTATATCCTTATTGCAATCTTTCTCCTATATATTACCACCTTTGACCTAAGCACTCCTATGAATCCGGTGTTCATCTTGCTGTGCTAATGAGGTATGGCAACCTGGACCGATGCACATATGTGCCTGGTCCTGCGTTGTAGCTGACTGACTGAGCAGTAGTGAGCAATGGAAACAAAAGAGATGGAAAAGGCGGCGACTGTAAGTAACACAATACAGCTCTTCAGACTAACAAAAGAAACTGGGAATAAGAAGTCAGATGTAAGGGACAATCTCGGAAAAAGACCTCACTTATCTGTTCTCAGCCCAGATGTTTAGAACGATGAGCGGAACACTTTAGAGAACAGTTTAGCTGGCCTTCAGCTACTCTACAACTACCACGATTCCCAAACAGCCTAAATGGAACAATGAAGTAGGTCCCCTAATCTAGTTGAAGTTCAATAGGCTATAGTTAATTTGAAACAAGGAAGAGCAGCTGGTCCAGGTGGATTAGCTCCAGAGGTCTTTAAGTATGGTGGTCCAATTTTAGCGATTAGGTTGAATAATATTTTAGCTAAAATCTAGGAGTTGAACGTCATCCCATCTGACTGGTCACAATCACCGATTGTCCCAATGTATAAGAAGGGGTCAAAGTTGTCAAGTGATAATCATCGGGGGATTAGTTTAATTAACATAGTATCTAAAGTCCTAACCTCAATAATTATTGGGCGCCTAAGACCCATGAACTGCAAACACGAGAAAATCAGACTGGCTTTAGGTCTGGTCGTGGCTGTATCGACCACACATTCACCATTTGTCAGGTTTTAGAACACAGGCATGCTTATCGGCGTTCAACAATGATGGTCTTTTTTTTTACTTCAAAGCAGTATTTGACTCCGTAGATCGAGAGGTTCTATGACAGTGTCTGTCATTGCAAGCTTAACCTCAGAAGTTCATAAACCTTTATTGCAATCTTTCTTTTATATTGTGGCAAGCCCATTTGACTATTGTATCATTTATCTAGTCATTGTAACTCAGACTCAATTCACTATGTTAATTTCGGTGTGTATGATCGAAAGTATGGCTGTACATTAACGCTTAAGCTATCTTCCTATTGGTCTCAATGTTCAGATAATCGATAATCTATCCACACCCGATTAACTCTCAAATATACATGGATTTTTAACAGACTCACACACTCTCTCTGTTTCATCGTGCGCTTGCTCACCGAACGCTTGTGGATTATTATTATTCATTATCAATAAACTATCTCTATAACTGGTGTTCAGGCTTTTTAATAATCTCGAGTAAATTCGCAATTCTACTAGGAGATTAAGCCTACCTAAAATACTCAGTTACGGGATATTATTATTTGGAGTCAGATATTGAGGACTTCATCCTTAACATTTTGGTGAACCGCTTTTAGAACACACACCATTTCTCTACAAATTCTGCTGCATACTCTCCAAGCGTATCTTAAAGAACTTCACATTGGAATTACTATTACAATTATTAACAATTCATTAACAGTCATAATAAATCCATCCATAACATTGTTCCTTTGGAATTACTGCTGTATATTCGCATATTTAAACCAAAAGTGACAGTTTTTCTTTTTGGTGAGTCTTATATATATTTCTTGTTGTTATTTTTGATTTCTCTTCATATTGTATATTACAATCCTCGGCTTATTATTACTATTGCTTCTTCGTATCATGGCACTTGATAATTCGTTAAGCCTTCCATCTAAATCTATTTCCGTGGGTGCCATCTCTGTACCTTTACCCATTTTTAATCCACGAAAGGCTGGACTCTGGTTTGCTCGTTTAGAAAGCTTTTTTGTAGCAAACAAAATCACAAACCAGAGTACGAAATTTAGTTACGCAAATTCACTGCTGCCAGATGACGTCATTGAACAAGTGCCGGATGTCATTTTTAAGCCGGATCCTGACTCACCATTCGATTGTCTAAAAAGAGAGGTCATTCGTGTCACATCTCTCACCGACCAACAGACAATTGATCAACTTTTAGCCAACGTGGAGCTAGGTGACAATACACCGTCACAGTTAAAACGCCACATGACAAACTTATTAGGAAATCGGACAGTAGACAAACGTCTACTATATCAATTGTGGCTCAGACGTCTCCCTCAAAACATTCAACAGATACTAGCAATTAGAGGCGAAGACGTTGATTTTGATAGACTAGCAGACATAGCCGACAGAATTTACGAACGATCCAAGACTCACCTTGTATCTCAAATCCAATCAAGCTCAGCTGACGAGATCGCCGAGTTACGACGATCAGTTGATACCCTTACGAAACAGATAGCTCAGATCCAATTATTGAATGCCTCCCACAGCAAGCGTAGAGGAACATCCACAAGCCGTAGACGACGTAGTCCAAGCACTACTAGACACAACATTTGTTGGTACCATAGAACATATGGCAAACAAGCTAGAAAATGTACTCCGCCTTGTAACTTTGCAAGCACACAGAAAAAGGAACGTCAAGACCGTAGGTTAATGACGACTGCACTCACAGACCACAACTTTCAAGACAGTCGTCTATTATATGTTACAGACAAAAGAACCGGCACACAGTTTTTAGTCGACACTGGGGCAGAGGTTAGTGTAGTACCACCCACTGCACTCGAGAAAAACACACCTGACCCCAAACTAAAACTACAAGCTGCAAACAGGTCTGACATCAAGACGTACGGCAAAAGGCGGTTGCAATTAAATTTCGGTCCTAAATCTAATTTTTCCTGGAGTTTCATCATAGCGGACGTCCTCGTTCCTATAATCGGCATTGATTTTCTGCAATTCCACAAAATACTGGTAGACGTCAGAAATAGGAAACTTGTCCTTGCCGAACAGAGTAAGGAAATTAGAGGGATTATATCAAATGAGACTTCCATACATTTATTAGTTAAACCTCATCATGAGATCGACAAATACGTCAATTTACTTAATCAGTTTCCAGATTTATTACGACCGAGTTTCAAACACGACAAACCGACGCATACCGTCGTACACCACATAAAGACAGAGGGTCCACCTGTGTTCGCACGTCCAAGACGCCTTGATCCCTCTCGTCTGGCTATCGCAAAGAACGAATTCAACAAAATGATTGAGTTGGGCATCATACGCCCCTCCGATAGTCCGTGGGCATCACCGCTCCATATGGTACCTAAGAAAAACTCTTCCGAAGTTAGACCGTGCAGTGACTATAGAGCTCTCAACAGCCGGACCATACCAGATAGATATCCTCTCCCACATCTGCATGACTTCACTCATAGCCTATCTGACGTGTCGATTTTTTCAAAAATTGATCTCATCCGTGCTTACCATCACATTCCAATTCATCCAGACGATGTTCCTAAAACAGCCATTACTACCCCCTTTGGACTATACGAATTCGTCCGTATGCCTTTCGGATTAAGGAATGCTGCACAAAGTTTCCAGCGTTTTATTGACCAAGTGGTACGGGGCTTACCGTTTGTGTATGCTTACATAGATGACCTACTTATAGCAAGCAAAGATGAAAATGAACATCTAACTCATCTGAAAATGCTTTTTGAGAAGCTAAACGAGTATGGGTTAGCGGTCAATCCTGACAAATGTGAGTTCGGAAAACAATCCCTCACCTTTTTAGGTCACGTACTTGATAAGCAAGGCATTAAACCAGTTCCTGAGGAAACACAAGCTATCAAAAATTATCCTTTGCCTGATTCATTCAAGAAACTACGACGTTTCCTTGGGATGATCAACTTTTACAGAAGTTTTATCCCTAAATGTGCAGACTTAGCAAAACCACTAACTGATTTATTGAGGGGACGAGCTAAATCATTAGCAATGACACCGCAAGCAATTCAAGCATTTGATCAGTTGAAAAGCGCTTTAAGCATAGAGGCATTACTCGCACGACGAAAGGTTGATGCACCTTTAGCAATAATGACCGACGCTTCTAACGTAGCAGTAGGTGCTGTACTTCAGCAACGTGTCAATGAACAATGGCAACCCCTTGCATTTTTCTCAAAAAAGCTAAACGCAACGCAAACAAAATATAGCACATTCGGTAGAGAACTGTTGGCTATCTACTTAGCCATCAAACACTTTCGCTACATGTTAGAAGGCAATTCTTTCACGATATATACTGATCACAAACCTCTAACTAAGTCCTTGATGCACAATCATGATAAATATAGTCCGCGCGAAATTCGTCAACTAGAATTCATTTCACAATTTGCAGCTGATATACGCTATATTAAAGGCAATGCAAATGAGGCAGCAGATGCACTATCGAGATTAAATATCAATACCTTCTCGATCCCTGATATAGACTATCAAGAAATGGCAAAGCATCAAAAGCTCGATACGGAGCTACAAAAGCTTTTGCAGTCTAAGGAAACGAATTTATTATTCCAAAACATCCCCATAAACAACAAGGACACCTTAACTTGTGATACCTCAACAGGTAAAACTCGCCCTTTTGTACCTTTCGGTATGAGACGAAATATATTTGAGAAAAAACAGACAACTGTAAAACCGTCTAAACCTGCAGCAGAGCAAGCACCATTCAAACTACCTGCAACAAGCAACACTTCAAATCAAAGTTCAGCAGCAGCACAAACTACAACAAGATCAGGAAGAAGAGTACATTGGCCAGATAGGTATGTAGCAACCACTATATTTATCTAGACCAAATCCTGAGACTACTCTTATAACACATAAAAATCCTACTTTACTTTGATTACTATTTTTTTTTATTGGCCCCACGGATCATCATTATGCTTACATTTTAACTTTATACAATTCATTAATCTTAAATATACACTTGTATATACGATATGAAACGTTTCAACACACAAGCTGTTATTACAATTTTACGCTTACTCACCATATTGAGTTGTACTTTTATTTTAAAAACAGTTCCGTTCTTTATCTCTTTGTCGAACATAGATGTTAATCCAATTTTTTTTGGTACATAAAAACATCAATGTTCTGGATGGGAGCTTATGTGGCAAGCCCATTTGACTATTGTATCATTTATCTAGTCATTGTAACTCAGACTCAATTCACTATGTTAATTTCGGTGTGTATGATCGAAAGTATGTCTGTACATTAACGCTTAAGCTATCTTCCTATTGGTCTCAATGTTCAGATAATCGATAATCTATCCACACCCGATTAACTCTCAAATATACATGGATTTTTAACAGACTCACACACTCTCTCTGTTTCATCGTGCGCTTGCTCACCGAACGCTTGTGGATTATTATTATTCGTTAACAATAAACTATCTCTATAACTGGTGTTCAGGCTTTTTAATAATCTCGAGTAAATTCGCAATTCTACTAGGAGATTAAGCCTACCTAAAATACTCAGTTACGGGATATTATTATTTGGAGTCAGATATTGAGGACATCATCTTTAACAATATATTACCACCTTTGAATTAACTACTTGTATGAGTCCAGTGTCCATCTTGTTGTGGTAATGAGGTATGGCAACTTGGACCGATGCATATATGTGCCTGGTCCTACGTTGTAGCTGACTGACTGACTGTTATCCTTAAGGTGATACGATTCCTCAAGAAAGTATAAAAGTTCCATTTGATCAAATACTTCAGAGTCATATTTCTTAGTGGGAATCGAAAATTATGAGGATGTCTAGAGAAATAAATGAACAATGATCCGAATAACGATGAGATTTTACTTACATCTGTTAACCCTCGTGGAATATAGGCCGCCGACCAGGCTTGCCTAACCAAGTCTATCCTGGGCTCTCCTTTCCAGTTGTCACCAATTGCTATTCATTCTTTTGATGCCAGCCTGCAATTCCCGACTCAGTGTATTGTTTGGTCTACCTCTTTTCCTTTCATGATTCCGAGTCAAGGCTTATTTTGTGATGCAGCCTGACGATTTCTGTAAATTGTAACCTATCCACCTCTAGCGGTTTTTCCTTATTTCCTCTTCATTTAGAAGTTGTTCTGTCCCCAGCCACGGTATCTCATTGCTGATGGTCTCTAGTCAGTGGATCCGGAGTACTTTGTGTAGATGGTTACTCATAAAATCTTGTACTTTTTGACTGTAGTTGTAGAAGTCCTTTAAGTTTCGGCTCTATACAATGGAACTGTCTTGACGTTTGTGTTGAAGATTGTTGAGGATAATATCCTCAATATCTGACTCCAAATAATAATATCCCGTAACTGAGTATTTTAGGTAGGCTTAATCTCCTAGTAGAATTGCGAATTTACTCGAGATTATTAAAAAGCCTGAACACCAGTTATAGAGATAGTTTATTGATAATGAATAATAATAATCCACAAGCGTTCGGTGAGCAAGCGCACGATGAAACAGAGAGAGTGTGTGAGTCTGTTAAAAATCCATGTATATTTGAGAGTTAATCGGGTGTGGATAGATTATCGATTATCTGAACATTGAGACCAATAGGAAGATAGCTTAAGCGTTAATGTACAGCCATACTTTCGATCATACACACCGAAATTAACATAGTGAATTGAGTCTGAGTTACAATGACTAGATAAATGATACAATAGTCAAATGGGCTTGCCACATAAGCTCCCATCCAGAACATTGATGTTTTTATGTACCAAAAAAAATTGGATTAACATCTATGTTCGACAAAGAGATAAAGAACGGAACTGTTTTTAAAATAAAAGTACAACTCAATATGGTGAGTAAGCGTAAAATTGTAATAACAGCTTGTGTGTTGAAACGTTTCATATCGTATATACAAGTGTATATTTAAGATTAATGAATTGTATAAAGTTAAAATGTAAGCATAATGATGATCCGTGGGGCCAATAAAAAAAAATAGTAATCAAAGTAAAGTAGGATTTTTATGTGTTATAAGAGTAGTCTCAGGATTTGGTCTAGATAAATATAGTGGTTGCTACATACCTATCTGGCCAATGTACTCTTCTTCCTGATCTTGTTGTAGTTTGTGCTGCTGCTGAACTTTGATTTGAAGTGTTGCTTGTTGCAGGTAGTTTGAATGGTGCTTGCTCTGCTGCAGGTTTAGACGGTTTTACAGTTGTCTGTTTTTTCTCAAATATATTTCGTCTCATACCGAAAGGTACAAAAGGGCGAGTTTTACCTGTTGAGGTATCACAAGTTAAGGTGTCCTTGTTGTTTATGGGGATGTTTTGGAATAATAAATTCGTTTCCTTAGACTGCAAAAGCTTTTGTAGCTCTGTATCGAGCTTTTGATGCTTTGCCATTTCTTGATAGTCTATATCAGGGATCGAGAAGGTATTGATATTTAATCTCGATAGTGCATCTGCTGCCTCATTTGCATTGCCTTTAATATAGCGTATATCAGCTGCAAATTGTGAAATGAATTCTAGTTGACGAATTTCGCGCGGACTATATTTATCATGATTGTGCATCAAGGACTTAGTTAGAGGTTTGTGATCAGTATATATCGTGAAAGAATTGCCTTCTAACATGTAGCGAAAGTGTTTGATGGCTAAGTAGATAGCCAACAGTTCTCTACCGAATGTGCTATATTTTGTTTGCGTTGCGTTTAGCTTTTTTGAGAAAAATGCAAGGGGTTGCCATTGTTCATTGACACGTTGCTGAAGTACAGCACCTACTGCTACGTTAGAAGCGTCGGTCATTATTGCTAAAGGTGCATCAACCTTTCGTCGTGCGAGTAATGCCTCTATGCTTAAAGCGCTTTTCAACTGATCAAATGCTTGAATTGCTTGCGGTGTCATTGCTAGTGATTTAGCTCGTCCCCTCAATAAATCAGTTAGTGGTTTTGCTAAGTCTGCACATTTAGGGATAAAACTTCTGTAAAAGTTGATCATCCCAAGGAAACGTCGTAGTTTCTTGAATGAATCAGGCAAAGGATAATTTTTGATAGCTTGTGTTTCCTCAGGAACTGGTTTAATGCCTTGCTTATCAAGTACGTGACCTAAAAAGGTGAGGGATTGTTTTCCGAACTCACATTTGTCAGGATTGACCGCTAACCCATACTCGTTTAGCTTCTCAAAAAGCATTTTCAGATGAGTTAGATGTTCATTTTCATCTTTGCTTGCTATAAGTAGGTCATCTATGTAAGCATACACAAACGGTAAGCCCCGTACCACTTGGTCAATAAAACGCTGGAAACTTTGTGCAGCATTCCTTAATCCGAAAGGCATACGGACGAATTCGTATAGTCCAAAGGGGGTAGTAATGGCTGTTTTAGGAACATCGTCTGGATGAATTGGAATGTGATGGTAAGCACGGATGAGATCAATTTTTGAAAAAATCGACACGTCAGATAGGCTATGAGTGAAGTCATGCAGATGTGGGAGAGGATATCTATCTGGTATGGTCCGGCTGTTGAGAGCTCTATAGTCACTGCACGGTCTAACTTCGGAAGAGTTTTTCTTAGGTACCATATGGAGCGGTGATGCCCACGGACTATCGGAGGGGCGTATGATGCCCAACTCAATCATTTTGTTGAATTCGTTCTTTGCGATAGCCAGACGAGAGGGATCAAGGCGTCTTGGACGTGCGAACACAGGTGGACCCTCTGTCTTTATGTGGTGTACGACGGTATGCGTCGGTTTGTCGTGTTTGAAACTCGGTCGTAATAAATCTGGAAACTGATTAAGTAAATTGACGTATTTGTCGATCTCATGATGAGGTTTAACTAATAAATGTATGGAAGTCTCATTTGATATAATCCCTCTAATTTCCTTACTCTGTTCGGCAAGGACAAGTTTCCTATTTCTGACGTCTACCAGTATTTTGTGGAATTGCAGAAAATCAATGCCGATTATAGGAACGAGGACGTCCGCTATGATGAAACTCCAGGAAAAATTAGATTTAGGACCGAAATTTAATTGCAACCGCCTTTTGCCGTACGTCTTGATGTCAGACCTGTTTGCAGCTTGTAGTTTTAGTTTGGGGTCAGGTGTGTTTTTCTCGAGTGCAGTGGGTGGTACTACACTAACCTCTGCCCCAGTGTCGACTAAAAACTGTGTGCCGGTTCTTTTGTCTGTAACATATAATAGACGACTGTCTTGAAAGTTGTGGTCTGTGAGTGCAGTCGTCATTAACCTACGGTCTTGACGTTCCTTTTTCTGTGTGCTTGCAAAGTTACAAGGCGGAGTACATTTTCTAGCTTGTTTGCCATATGTTCTATGGTACCAACAAATGTTGTGTCTAGTAGTGCTTGGACTACGTCGTCTACGGCTTGTGGATGTTCCTCTACGCTTGCTGTGGGAGGCATTCAATAATTGGATCTGAGCTATCTGTTTCGTAAGGGTATCAACTGATCGTCGTAACTCGGCGATCTCGTCAGCTGAGCTTGATTGGATTTGAGATACAAGGTGAGTCTTGGATCGTTCGTAAATTCTGTCGGCTATGTCTGCTAGTCTATCAAAATCAACGTCTTCGCCTCTAATTGCTAGTATCTGTTGAATGTTTTGAGGGAGACGTCTGAGCCACAATTGATATAGTAGACGTTTGTCTACTGTCCGATTTCCTAATAAGTTTGTCATGTGGCGTTTTAACTGTGACGGTGTATTGTCACCTAGCTCCACGTTGGCTAAAAGTTGATCAATTGTCTGTTGGTCGGTGAGAGATGTGACACGAATGACCTCTCTTTTTAGACAATCGAATGGTGAGTCAGGATCCGGCTTAAAAATGACATCCGGCACTTGTTCAATGACGTCATCTGGCAGCAGTGAATTTGCGTAACTAAATTTCGTACTCTGGTTTGTGATTTTGTTTGCTACAAAAAAGCTTTCTAAACGAGCAAACCAGAGTCCAGCCTTTCGTGGATTAAAAATGGGTAAAGGTACAGAGATGGCACCCACGGAAATAGATTTAGATGGAAGGCTTAACGAATTATCAAGTGCCATGATACGAAGAAGCAATAGTAATAATAAGCCGAGGATTGTAATATACAATATGAAGAGAAATCAAAAATAACAACAAGAAATATATATAAGACTCACCAAAAAGAAAAACTGTCACTTTTGGTTTAAATATGCGAATATACAGCAGTAATTCCAAAGGAACAATGTTATGGATGGATTTATTATGACTGTTAATGAATTGTTAATAATTGTAATAGTAATTCCAATGTGAAGTTCTTTAAGATACGCTTGGAGAGTATGCAGCAGAATTTGTAGAGAAATGGTGTGTGTTCTAAAAGCGGTTCACCAAAATGTTAAGGATGAAGTCCTCAATATCTGACTCCAAATAATAATATCCCGTAACTGAGTATTTTAGGTAGGCTTAATCTCCTAGTAGAATTGCGAATTTACTCGAGATTATTAAAAAGCCTGAACACCAGTTATAGAGATAGTTTATTGTTAACGAATAATAATAATCCACAAGCGTTCGGTGAGCAAGCGCACGATGAAACAGAGAGAGTGTGTGAGTCTGTTAAAAATCCATGTATATTTGAGAGTTAATCGGGTGTGGATAGATTATCGATTATCTGAACATTGAGACCAATAGGAAGATAGCTTAAGCGTTAATGTACAGACATACTTTCGATCATACACACCGAAATTAACATAGTGAATTGAGTCTGAGTTACAATGACTAGATAAATGATACAATAGTCAAATGGGTTTGTCAGAAGATTCTGACTTTGGTGTTGGCTTTCAGACAATTGTTTTGGGTTCTATATGTTCTACTGTAGAAATGCTACCCTTGCTTTGTCAATCTTTGCCTGCACATCTGCATCACATCCTCCTTGTTCATAGATGATGCCTCCCAGGTATTTGAAAGTAGCCACTTCTTTCAGAGTTTCTCCATCGAGTGTGCTTTGTGATGGTTTTTCTACGTTGTATTTGAGGATATTGCTTTTTCTCTCATGTATGTTCAGGCCTACTGATGCAGAGGCTGCTGCTACACCTGTTGTCTTTATTTGAATTTGTTGGTGTGTGAAATAGAAGAGCTAGGTTATCTGTGCTGTCCAAATCGTTCAGATCTATACAGAATGTCCTTGGTAATTTGTGTTTCCATTGAGACGTTCAGGTCGTCAAAATCCAGTCGACCACCAGAAGAAAAAGGAAGAGTGAGGTAAGCAGCCTTGTCTAATACATCTGTCAACTATCCTCCATACACGACTTTGCAGTGTAGTTTGTCCTATGAACTCTCTATGATGTTGATGGTTTTCTCAGGTACACCATAGTGTCGAAGAAGGTTCCATAAGGTTCTCCTATCCACACAGTCGAACACCTCATAGTCAGTGAAGTTGATGTATAGTGACGAGTTGCATTCAATTAATTGTTCAGCGATGATCTATAGTGTCACTATCTGATCAGTGCTTGAACGGTCCTTACGGAATCTGGTCTGTTGATCTTGAATTTGGCCGTTTACCGGATCTTTCATCTAGTTCAGCGACATTCTGTTGAAAACTTTCCCTAGTACCGACAGTAGTGTGATGCCTCTCTAGTTCCAACATTTTCTCAGATCTCCTTTCTTTGGTATCTTAATCAGGTCGCGGTTGTGACTTTTCTCCGGCTGATTGTCACGTGATTGATTCATCAATCAGAATACGACTTATGTGATCTTAGCACTGCGCCAAACCAATGATGTATTGATCGGTATGAGCAGCCTAGCATCCTCACTAGTCATTATTTGTCCTTTTCCCTGCCTAGCCCTGTCTGTTGAGTTCGGGACGCCAATATCAGCTTCCACTATGCAACCGTAGCTGCTACTTTGACGCGGTGGTCGGGCTTCCCTATCGTGATGACCCAACCGAGCTATATTGGCTGGAACATATGCTCCTGTAGGTTCTACCATGCCAGGCAGGTCGATTTGAGAACGGTAAGACTAAAAGCAGCAACTCAAGGTCTGAGGGCGAAGTCGTACTGCTAACTGTAGAGGGGTGTGACAGCAGTAAGGTGTTTCTCTAGGATAATCAGCATCTGCAGCGATGCTGCCTTCTCACAAGGAAGAAAAGGGTCAGAGAATGTCGACCCTAAAAATGTCACACCTCACCTTACCTCACGGATTTCCGTCTCCGGCGGTTATGCCCTTTGAAGAACGGAGCTAACACATCAAAAACCTTCCACGAAAAGGCCGTGCGCGACCGGCTTCAAGCAGTTGTCCCTTGGGCTCTGCGGTCACGCTCCCAGGTTGTTAAGACCAACACTAATCCGACTTCTTTTTGAGGTTCCTCAAGAAATACCCTTCCACGGTGTGGGCAGCCGGGAAGTGACACCAGCCCTCATACCCGTAACAACACACGAGACCAAGCTGGTCACATTCAAATCCTTCTTACACCTCCTAATACCTCTCTTATCTACACGACTAGCCCTTCTCACGTCTCTTTATCACCTCGCACCGCTAGGGCAAACTATTCGAGTACGCGGAACGTTATTCCTGGTCTCCTGAAACCACGCTCTAGACTACACGTAGGAGCTTTTAACGTCCGAACACTGTGCCAAATAGGACAACAGGCTTCCTTAGCTAGGACTTTAGAATCTCGCGCCATCGATGTGTGTTGCGTCTCCGAGACGCGCACACAGATTCGGAGTAGCGTCATTCACTTGACCTCACCATGTCAAAATAAAGAACCAACTCGATGCACACTTCGTGTATCTGGAAGCCCTGATTCTGCTTCCCGTGGGCTCGCCGGCGTAGGTATGGCATTGAGTCCTAGGGCAGAACTAGCTCTCTTAGACTGGATCCCAGTAGATAGTCGTTTGTGCTCTGTCCGACTAAACGGAACAATGAGGACTCGGAAAGATAGGGACACTCGTCGTTGCCTCTTCGTCGTCTCTGCCTATTCTCCCACTGACTGCAGCGCAGATGATGTAAAAGATGAGTTTTACAGAAAGCTCTGCGACCTCCTCCGAAAAGCTAGGCGCTCGGATGCAGTAATAGTGGCCAGTGACTTTAATGCTCAAGTAGGTAAACTAAGCGATAAGGAAAGACATCTGAGTGGATCTTATAACATCGTGGCTCGAAGAACAGATAATAGCGACCCTCTGTTACAACTATGCTCAGATGACTGCCTCTTTCTAGCAAATACTAACTTTAAGCATAGGGAAAAACATCCTTTGACATGTCGACCCCCGAATTCGTCCCAACGTTGGACCCAAATAAATCACGTCGCTATCAGCCACCAATAGAGGGGCTCGATAGAAGACTGTCGCTCATTCTGGAGCACGTGCTTAGATTCAGATCATGCTCTAGTACGAGCGCGTATCTGTCTGCGTCTTACTGGATGTAGGAAAGATGCTGCAAGTAAACCTCTTAGGGGCCTACTTAATGATAATCAAGCTAAGAGTTTATTTCAGGAACAACTAGGAAAACAGTTAGGCAGCCATGTATGTGATGCCCACTCCGATGCAGCATGGAATGATATCCGAAAAGCTGTGGAAACAGCAGTGATATTTGCTAGTACGGTAACCCGTTAGGTTAGGGAGCAACATTGGATCTCAGCAGCATCTATCGCACTGATAGATGCTCGGAAACTCATTCCACCTGGCTCTGAACATAATGAAAAGCGGAGTCAGCTTAAGCGCAAGCTGACAAGAAGTCTACGCAATGACCGTGAACAGTGGTGGGTAGCGTAAGCAAGAGAGATGGAAAAGACAGCGGCAATATGTAATAGCAGACAATTTTTCAGACTTGTTAAGGAAACCGGTATTAGGAAACCCTTCACAGCCTTAAAGTAGCTCATAACATACTACTGCACAGTATACTCATTTTTTGGTCGACAGACGAATAGCAAGAAATTTTATTATTGTTATTTTATTGTTAGGTTAATCCATTATTGAAAGTGCTCAATACGACTCTGCAAGAACGCTATGTGGATGATGTAATAGTTAATCGATTCTTATCTGACTTCAGATCATCTGTCGATGATGAATGCAACGACGGTGTAAAAAAAACTTTGGTAAGTTATACTGTTTATCTCTATTTCTCTAATTCTGAACAACTACAACCTTGACGACGAAACATTTATCATGTATTGGCTGATTTTCAAAGGTTCATAAGATGAGAACATTATTTCTTAACGAAAAAAAACTTTCTTTACAATAAAGTTTGAAATTATTTTACACAACTTATTTTTAAAATAATTCGAGTATCTAACGAAATAAAGTTTTGTACGTACTTAGTAGATCTTGAACAGGATAAATGTAAACAGTACCCCTGGATATTTGAACATAAACACGTCCATCCATTTAACAACAAATAGTAGTTATTCTGGCAAATTTACTTTTGTTTCTTTCCACGACTGTTTTAAATTCCTTAGCAGAGGAAGATGCTCTGAGTAACCAGCTGAGGAATGAAGAAAATACTAATCCAATCACGACAGGCTGCATATATATATATATATATATATATATATATATATATATATATCTTACACCCGTCGCCCTTCGTGGACGAGCATTGTCCGCCCACCAGCATTCTCCATCCAATTCTGTCCATAGAAGTGCTACAGGCGGTGTTATACATATTTTAGTTATTTATATATGAGCTGTTACTCAAACAATATCGCTTGTTACATGACAAGTTTATTTATTTATGTGAATACAAACTTTTGTACAAGGGGGCACCCAATACATGAACGCCACACAATAACAATTGCGTTCTGAAGAGATAGAGAATAAAGAGTGAGTATAATAAAAAGAGGAACAATGAGCAGAAATTAGTGAATGAATGCGATTTAATAATAATAGCGGGGGTATGTCATCAAGCCTTCAGAGACAACGATGATCGCCTAACATTCTCAACTTGGAAAGGCTGGGTTTCGCAAGCATAAAGCAAAGCTACTCTCACCAACGCGTTGTAGGTCCGACTTTTAACAACCGGGCTAACATCACAAAGGCTCCAAAGACTGCCCAGGTTTGCATGAGCCTCTCTGGCGTTCATTATTCCTGAATTGATCTCATCACTCACGCCACCGCCAGCACTTACGCTGCTATCCAGATACACGGACTTCTCGAATACTTATATCCGCTCACTATCCAGGGTGAGTGCAAGTTCAGGTGGGTGCCAGTCTTGCAAAAGTACTTCGTACGTAGAAGGTACAAGACACATGCCATACCTACGAATACTGATTGGCAACCGACTAAGTGCGGACTACATGGCTTAGGTATCATCGCAAAGTAAGACAATATCATCCGCATACGCAAGATCGAAAAGTTTTTCCAGGCAACAGATCCACACTACCATTACCTACATCCATCAGAGCTGTTTCCAGAACGTCATCGATAGCAAAGTTGAAGAGGAATGGCGAGATTGGAAAACCCTGTCTAACCCCACGGCTTGAATGTAACGATGGAGAGAGGTGGATGTATGTCCTCACTCCCCCTGTAGTGTTGGTATATAGGGCTTTCAGGATGTTAATAAACTTCTCAGGTACACCCCTCTTCAATAGACAATCCCAGAGAACAGTCCTGTCCAATAAATCGAAGGCGGTGTTCTAATATTTGGTGGAGGGTGAAGATATGATCAATACATCCTCGGCCAGAAAGAAAACCAGTCTGTTCCTCGCGAGTCAATTCTTCTGGGGTTTTGAACAATCTACGAAGTATGACGGAAGCCAATAGTTTGAACGCGATGGGAAGTAGACTTATCCCCCGATAATTGTTCCATAGATGATGTGAACCTTTTTCAAAGATAGGGACAACTATCGATTCATTCCACGATGTTGGAACCAGACGTTTATAAACAACTTAGTCGGTTCCTAACCAGAAGGTTGCCACTATCTCTAAAAAGGGTCGCAGGTAAGCCATCTGGGCTTAGTGATTTATGGAGCCTCAAGAGTTGGAGTTCCTTGAGGACTGCAGTCTCGTTAGGTGGACCAGTCGTCACAGGCCATGAAGAGTAGGAAAATCTGACCGATGTTGCCGATGCGGCAGACCAGTTGGACTGTCCATCGTCCAAGACGTCGGTAAATTTTACTGATTGGCATCCCGTCATTTTCACAGATTGTTTCACTCACACCAGACTTCTTGCTTCCAGTGACTTGTGTGCGTTGGGAGAGCTTCCGGCAGTTACTGCTTCCAAATCATTGTCACGCTCTGAATTCTCTATCCTTAAGCAAGGTGTGCATAGTTTTATTACATAATAGTCTTCGTCCATGGTCAAACGTGCGGTTGGTCAGAGTAGACCGATGTGCTTCAAGGAGTTGTAAGCAGCCTGTAGAAATCCAGTGCTTATAAGTGGGACGTTTCGTGAAGAGGATAGCGACTTTACTCGCCATTTTCATGGCGTCATGCAAGTGCAGCCAATGCTCATCTATACTTTTCGGTGGGTTGATAGCTGAAAGCATTGAATATCAACTGTTCACTTGGATATCTCAACGAGTAAAAATTAAAATTTTTGACATTATATGACTTGGCAAAAAGTTTTTGATATGAAGTTGCCTCCACTAATTTGTATTTGTGTTATTACGATCGGTTAACTTGGTTGTTGATTAAGTATTTTATTCATTCTATTCTGACATTACAATCGCATTTTATTGACCGGTTAATATTTAATAAAGTGAATAATAGAGTGAAAATTAGATCTAATAAAATTGCTCATGATATTATGGTAATTCACTTTCTCACTAGTAATGCTTTCATGTGACCACGTGCATACGACCAATTTCGTAAACAACACCCCCACCACAGGAAAGCAGTGAGTAGGACTTCCCTGATAGTGGTTGTATGCACGTGGCAATGTGAGAGCATTGCGAGAGAGAGAGTTGACTCCCCCCACTCTCGGCCGTACCAGGGCATTTGGGGGCTCTGGTGTCTCCTCATTTGCGAATAAATCTTTCGCCTTTTACAACTTTAGTACGAACTTCAAACTTTGTATTTTGACTGCTTACAATCAAATAAAAGGGTTGGAGTAGAGTTAAGTAAGAACTGCTGATGCTTTTAATTTTACATAAATAGCAGCAAATCTTTTGAATTGAGAAATTTATCACCGGCAAAGTTATCACCAAAGCCTTACGAAATAAACTATAAAGCACATAGAATCTCTCTATCCTACCACTCATTACTCAACAGTCCTTAAGTCAAGTTCATTTCAGTGATTCCCGTGTAACTCGAAATGCGTTAAAGTTGGTAAATAATCTCTTCGTAGTTTAGTGAACTACTTGTTGAACTTTAAGTTTTTTAATTTATTCAATCAAATTGACTTTATGGTTAAAAACAGAAACAACTAGAAGAGTCTAATATTTTGTTTACTCTACCTACAAAATACACTTTAGAATGTCACTCAGTTGTAATCAACATAAAGCAAAACCCAAATACGCATTGGTTTAAATTGCCATAATAAACCAGTACGAGGCAAAATCAACAACAAGAGTACCAAAGGACTACAAATAACTAGAATACCAATGATATTAAGAGATACTAGGAATTGGAGAAAAGGAATAAAAATGCATATATGAAAGGAATACTGGAACTCAAGACCTAGGATAAAACAAAGAGTGGATGTTTCTGAGGCATTGAGATCGATCCTGAAACATGTCACCCAAAGCCTTCAACCACTGATAGCGGTTACTCTGCGGCTACCAACACAGCCTTTAAATGCTGTGGTATGGTCGAGGGTGGAGAGAGTTTGCTCTTCTTCTAGAAATGCTCTCGCATGACCACGCGTATACAGCCACTACCAGGTAAGTCCTACTCAATGTCTTTCTTCAGTGAGGTCGTTGTTTACGAAACTGAGAGGATGAAAAGCGAATGTTCGACGCTTGGACCGAGTTGACGGATACAGAGGATCCACCAAGGGGGGTTAGGAAACCCTAATTCCAAACCAATGGTGCACATGGACTCCAGGATCCTGAATGAGAAAATGGCGTACTAACCTATTGTTGGTCACCGACTATCGTGAGACCGCATCTCCTAGCGTTGCCTTGTGAATCCGACCTCTATGTCAAAGGCTTGGGGAGTAGCCCCTTAAGGAAACTATTTGTATCTGGGCACCCGGAAAGTATATCAGTTCACACGAATTCACTGGTTTGTATGGCGAACATATTTATTGCCACCTTGTACTAATATTAATTTTTAAATAAATAAATAATTAGTTAATTTATTAGGTAATTGAAACTATTATTTATACACAAAATAGTATAATTAATCGTTGTTCCTTAATTCATAAATGAATAATTCTAGATTAGTGATTACTATACAACAATAAATGATCCTTTTATTTCTAGTCATCATAAAGAAATGGTCTAATCATAATAATTAAGTCATTTAACTTCGCGAATTTAAAATTGACATCTTTCTGATAGGCTGAAGTCTTTTTTTCTCATCATTATCATCATCTTAATAGTTTCAATTTTTCTGCAATATTTACCAAAGATGCAGTCTTCTTCACGATCCATCATTACAAAGAATATACCTACTCAGATATCTCTAAATCGTTCAACAATTGGCGATGGAATAGTTCTAGCATGTATGACTTTTCCGGGATCTCGTGACAGTAAACGATTACAAAAATTAATCAGTTTACTCGGTGAAATTGGACAAATTAATTTAGAAGATCATGAAGAACAAATATGTGATAGTATGAGACTTCGATTACGATTATTTGTCCGACGTGTTATTAATTTGGTAAGTGAGAATATTCACACATTTTTTACTCACACAGTGTGTATATTTTTGTATGATACACTTTTTATCGACTTACTTGAACAAGATATCTTCTGAAGTAGGCGGCTATTTGTTAAAGCACCTATTATTTATTTACAAAGATATTCTTTTTCAATCTACTGAATTATATACTTTTATGGTTAGACTACAACTATATTATAACGACAGCTTTGAAGGATTATCAATTAGGAAATAGTATTTAGTTACGAAACAATTTCTAATAAAAATTAATCAAATTAAGATGGATAAAGAGTTTCAACATTGTAAGTTAAAGAATAAAAGTTTAGTTTAAAAATTAGGAGTCCGACCAGATTCAGTAGTCAAGTTTACAATTGTTAAGGTTGGAAGTTATAAAATCTGGTGTTAATGATACAATATATTTTTAGTTTGAGAATACTTTTTGACCATAAAAACACTTGATTATTACTTAAAAAGCATCATTTACGTTCAGGTGCAGTCTATGTCAAAGGCGCGTATTTCTTTTTAATTTGGCTTACGCACCATGATAAATTCACAATGTGTTCGCATGGAATTTGTTTGGTTTTTTTGACAATTTTAAGCCATTCACTAGTAGATGTACGGAAAAATAACCGGAAATGCATGATAACGGACACATGCTGAACATCGATAAACGTATAAGTTACACTTATCCTATTCTTTGTTATCCCCCATGTTTTCAATTTTGCACAAAATCCGGTAAACACTGTCTTATATCCGATTGGTTCTTTTAAATTCATCGGTAGAATATAGTCTTGCCTATTTCTACTTTAAGAACTTTCGAGGATAAAGCCTTCCACAAATCGTAACTTTTTAATGTCTTGCCTTAACAACTGCCGATAAAACAAAAATGTTCATATCGTACAAATTTCTAATCAACAAACAAACAAATTATTATAGGCAGTGCAATACTAGGATTGTTAAACAACAGCAAACAATACATTTAAACTTGGTAAAATTATGTAAACATGTCATGGTAAACAAAATTTGTATCTCTACGATAAAGTATTTTGTACAGTAAACATTGTCTTCCTCCAACAGAATATTTCATTGTGATTGGAAATATTTAATATGAACAAAACAAAGAGATCGCTCAAAGTTAATAGACGAACAAATAAGTTATTTTCTCTAATCTGATTGTTAAGATTTTTCAATTTCGATTATATTTTTCCCTCCTAAGAAGCCATACCCGTGCTTCCTCTCCAAAAATGATGTTAACTTGTTAATAGTTCTTTCATAGGGTCGTCTTTGTCACGGATTGATCTCAGTTAAGGGAGTTTTGGAAACGACGGAGCAATAAGCAACTGCTTCGTCTTAGTATTGTATTCCTAAATAGTAAACACCAGCTATGTTGCCAGGGATCGATCTCAAGACCTTCAGGCTTTGCAGGGAACGTTAAGCCATTAGGATCTCCAATTCAGTATCCAATATTGCAATCCTAACTGTAATCAGTTTGTAATGTAGCACAGCTACTGAGAATTCATTGGTATTAAAACTGTTATATTAGATGTCGACCCGGTGGTTTACTGCATGACTTGTGTTATAGCGGAACAAATAGTAAAGAAAGTATAACTTTGGGGACTAATTTTCGGGTTATTATTTGTATTTTTATTGTTCACTTATTAAACAACTGTATTATTGTATTTACCTTTACTGATTGTAAGCTTCCAATAGATATGTTAACTGATATTATGCGTCTTACTACTCCCTCATTATTACCAATTATCCACTCGCCATCTCCTTCTGTTCCCTTCCACTTTTGGCGTAGCAATACTTAGATTGTAAGTTCATATTCATGTTGTTGTGAGAGGAGGAAATTAGTCCATATTATTGTACGAGTTGATGCACATAAGATATAATACTCCACAACTCCATGATGTATTCCATTATCGGACGGAAGACTGAGTCAGAAGAAAGGTATACATTTGTGGCGGAGAAGAGTTAAAATTATTCTCAGTCTCAACTCAAGGTTAACCTGCCAGTCAAAGCTTAGAATATTATGAGATAACTGGAATAGTATACTTAGGATAGAGAAATATTTCAGGCTTCTCATTAACGGATCTTCTCTTGGGATACCGACTAACCTTACAGTCATGACAACCCGAAAGGCTCTGGTTCTGATCTATGGCAGGCTCATTGATGTGCAGTGTTAGGAAGTTTCATACTATGAAAAATCAATCTGTATCAAATACAACCTATAGATTAAACTAATCTCCACAAGATCCCTTCTAATAGATTTTTATTGTTAAGTGTTGCTTTCTTTTATTTTTACAGCTAGATGAATACAAGAATGAATCTATTTATCTAGTTAGCTTCGGTGTTGGTTCGTTACTTATGTTATTATCTGTTGTACATATACTCTCGTTGAATAATTCTCGTTCAGAAAATAATTATACTAATCGAACAAGTATAAATGGAATTATTTGTGTTGGTTTACCATTAATTGGTTTAAGAGGTAAACGAGGTGAATTGAATGACCCACTCCTATCGATACCAGCTTTACCAATATTATTTATTATAGGCGCTAGAAGTCGACTTGGTGGTTATAAAGAAGCAGTTGAATTTCGAAAGAGATTATTCAATGCTAGACAAAGACAACGTCCACTAACTTCTCGAATCGATAATAATGACAATGATAATTTAATTCATATGAATTATACTAACCAATTTCGACACAAAATCAATGGATCATCTAGCATCACTGCTACTAATACTACTACTGTTGTTCGTGATGATAATAATGAATTGAATTCGATCTCACCAACTTTTGATTTATTAGTTATTGGAGGCGCCGACCATTTACTTCGAATGCAACCGTCTGCATGTAGACGTTGGTGTACTACACAAAGTATGGTAGATATTAGAATGATGGTAAGCTAAACTAGGCTTACCTCAACGCAATGTATCTATATATTCGTTTGTTTTAAGTCCATTTTATAATTTCATTATTACTATGGTTTATTTTTGGTTTGCTAATAAAATAAAACTTTATATAGGTTAGTACTTAGCTAAATATTAGAAAGAGTACATATTTTTGACCAAGCACTTCATTGACCACGATGAGAATAAATGAAATTCAACTACACCGATTGGCGGGTATTGTAGTGGTTGTTCGCTGGGAAAAGTTATTTTATTAGTTACATCATATAACCAAAGGTTTTTTATTCGATCATCTAATGTTAGATGATTATAGAAATTTATCACTTTCATTGATGGTAGCGACTAACTCTTCAAAAATAAACGAATTAAATAACTTGACTGGAGACTAAAAATAATTCCGCCTCTAAATTCTTAAGGACGGGCTTGCAGGTTTTTCAATTAATTTCTATCACGTAGACATTATTGAATGAGACTTATAACTTGGTTAAATGTTATCATTCTGAGTAACTCCATATAACCATTCAATTAAAACCGTCAATTCAACAACTACCAACGGTATAAAGACAGAAATTGAAATACCAAGTGACTGGGAATACTGCATTTTGAACATACTAGTCAGCGGATCAAACCAGTGAATTGTTATGTGGTATAACGATTTACTTTATATAAACTGAATCTCCCAATAAAATCCATATGTAAATTGTTAACTCAGTTTATATGATGAACTTTTAATCTATTAAAACAAAAATAGGTTTGTGAATGTGTATGCTCTGAGTAAGGCTGTTAGAACATCATCCTGATAAATCCAAACATTGAAGAGATTTGGTTTGATTTATGTTTTCGAATGTATAATACAAGATTAGAACCACTGTTCGTATTCCTTCAAGACTACTTTACACTTGATGTACCTAATAAAGTGAATGTCACAGAGTCGCAATAAATAAGTAGACTTTAATGTGTACAATCATAATTATTCTACGAGGTATTGTCGTGTTACACAACTGTTTGAACCTCGAAGTAGTTGAAACAGTATTCGGACTTATGATTCACTGGTTGAAAATGTAGTATTTGTGCCACAGATCCGCATGTGATCCCTACCTGTAGAGTTGCATCATTCCAAATATCTTGCAAAAAATGAAATGTCACAGAGACAATTTCCAGATACTTTCCAAACATATGCGGTACCGCTTGCTAACTTGTTCTGCTTGGTTATACGGATACTAGTAATGGTTATTTAGGGAAAAATACGTATTTGTTGACTAATATTCTCCAAGTGTATGTCATATCAGAATTAATTTGTGAACAAATCAATCATTACGTAGGCCATTTATTTTATTTTTATTTATTTATTATTATAAGCTTTATTCAATATTATATTTTCGGTACAATATAGAATTCTCAGCACAAAGTATTTCAACAAGTTTCCGTTTCTTTCTTCTGGGTCGATCCTGACGATAAATATTGAGTGATAGCCAGTTAGATGTTAACAGTCCAGTAAATAAACATCTGAATAATGTATATTCTTTTCTCTGCATATTGCCAGCGACCACATTATCTCTTATTGAGCTTTTAGTAACTTTGACAACGAAAGGTTGTAAACTTTTCAGAAATGCACAAGGATGGGTTATGCGCTTAATATACATAATGATATATTAAAACAAACAAAAATAGATAACTTGTTGAAATATTTAGATGACAGGAACAGGTAGCCCAGATGCTCAAGCAGGCCGCCCAATTCATTTACTAAGTTTAGGTTTATATACTTGGCTTCAAGACGCTATCTGTTAAAGCTAATGATACTCAGCTGCTCAAATTGAAGTAGATGCAAGTTCCAAACAAACAAATTATTAGTTAGATCCTAATTGCTTTAATGTCAACAAACCATTGCTTCTCAATCAGTCATAAACAGTGTCAGACCACTGTGTACAGTTTGAGGGACTGAAATAAAATCAGCCCGTGAGGTTGTATCAAATTACCAGACAGTGAAGCTTCTAATTCTAGTTACTTACGGTTAAAATACAATGGCAATATGTCTAACAGTTGGTCTTTTCGTATGTTTCAGCTTGTAAAGTATCAGACCAGCAATTTATTGGTATCTGGTTCAAGTGCTCTTTACCGCTTTAGATGACTCCATAGTTGTGTAAATACAACACATCTCACTTAAAATGATCTTAATTTCATCCTTAGAACCATTTTCACCCGTAACTTACATCATAGATGGACTTAATCTGGACGACCATCGAAAGCCAAAGGGGAGAGAACAATGAGGATGACTGTCTTCCCAACATTATCCACTAAAATGAGACAGCTGTTCAGTATCCTCTGTTTTTCAGTTGTTGTATCTAGCTAAAATCATTCTTCACACTAAACAATATGCATAAGCCTCCTATTACTAACATATTTTTTTTTTCAGAATGCTATCAAAAAGTTTATTTGTAAAACTAGAATACAACCATTTGGATAGTTATCCATGGACTTTATGTTATCCCCATTAACTCCCAGTGGTAAGAGGTGATCATGACTTGATATTATATTGACAACAATAACACATTCATAAGCATTAAATCCAGATTTTTGTTTTTACGCTACATTGGTAAGAATATAATACAATTCAACAATTTCTTTTGAATATCATCAGAGAGCGGAAATAATGTATAACCATATACAAAAGTCTACATCGTTTTGATTAGTATCAACATGATGATACATGCTATCGTCCATATTTTTTCAAGAAAAAAACAACCTCTGAAATAATTGGATTCAAATGGGATAGAGAATTACTTAAGATATGATTTTTAGTAGATGAGAAATAAACACTAAGGTGTATAATATTAATATTTTTGTATTTCGAGTTATTTACATTGTGAATTTTGTATAATAGTTGTAAATAAATAATATTACTTGTTAATTTTTCAAATTCTCACACATGAATAACTGTACTCAAACCACAATACATTTTAATAACCTTGTATAAATTTATGTGTTATACTACACACTTAGCTGTTCAAGAAAATTAATAACGAGATGGTGAGAAATATTTGTAGCTCGGTTAAATGATTTTGGTGAAGTTGCATCCTCTGTACTCGGTGTTTCGATTATGAAGCTTCCATTGTTTTTAGATACATCATCAGTTCACAGAATGGAACCTCACCAAGAATAGTAATACAATTTGTGTGAAAAAATCCTCACAGACAAAGCATAGTCATGGCTTATTGATTAGTAGTCCTAACTAAACCGATATTCGAACGAGCAGACATAATGTAACATAATCCATGTTCCTGATGTTAACCTTAAGACATTGTCGTTTGAAGTCGATCTACACTACCTGTTTGACGTCAGCTAAAATGAGGTTACACTTTGAAAACTAGGTTAAATCAGCAATTAATAATTGTATGGTTCAGTGTTACTTGATTAGTTAATCAGAGATGTCCACCAGTACAAATTTACTCTAAATTATTGTACCCTGAGATATAAATTTTGTGAGCCCCCAAATGCCATGGTACGGCCAAGAGTGGGGAAAGTCCGCTCTCCTTCTTGAAATGCTCTCACATGGCTACGCGTATATAACATCTGCCAGGGAAGTCCTACTCACTGCCTTCTCGTGGCGGGGGTGTTGTTTACGAAAATCAGAGGACGAAAAGCGAATGTCCGGCGCTATAACCGGATCCCAAGCCAATGGTGCACATGGACTACAGTATCCTGCGGGGACAAATGGAGTATGAACCGATTGTTGGTCACCGTCTTCCATGGGACTGAATCTCCTTACGATGCTTCACTGCCTTGTGGATCAAACCTTCAAGTCGAAGGCTCGGGGTGTGGCCCCCTAAGAAAACCACCTGCTTCGGTTTGGGAACCTGGGCAGTATGACAGCCCTCACACATATCGAATGAGATTTGTGTGGCGCACATGTATTTGGTGCCTCCTTGTACCAATATCTATGTGTTAAAATAATTAAGTAAATAAATTTTGTGAATGTATGCGACTTACTTTGAGCCCAAGCTAACAATCTTCATTATACTAAAGCCAAGCTCCATGTTATGCCCTCCATACTTTAATTGATATGCAGTTTAGCTGTCCTCACCTGCAATGTCTCAACTATAGGTAACGTTACACTAGCCGAATTTGTCATTGAACAACTAAAATCTCTGAATCAATCCCGCCTACGATTTCATCAGTGACTGGTCTGTGGATAACAGTTTTGATTACCTTAATTGATCCAAGTGCTCGATATGCATTAGTCATTCCTTACGGATCAGAAATAGAGTTTACAGTTAGTAGTATTGACGAAGCAATTTCTTAGAAAAAAATCCCAACGGATTCTCATTGCGATATTAAAATAAACCTTGTCACTATCTTCCTCACTCAAATTGAATGAAGGAAATAGTAGTTTTCATGGGAGACAACCTATTGATCACATCACAAGGATATTGGGTCTTTAATCCGAAAAGAAAAATCAAATACTCTGACGAGATATACATAGTAATTAATAAAATAAACGTTCGCTAGAAACTTCATCGAATACAGATAGAGTCTGTGCTTGATTTGAAATATGATCAAAAGTGGATATATACGTATATTTGTAAAGTTTTCCTCTCAATTTCGGTCAACATTGTTTGGCCTGTTGAATTTCCGATAATAATCGTTCCCAATTAAAGTTTCTATTCGGTAATTCTGCTGTGTTTTTCTGAAAAAGTTGGTCATCATATTGTGGACCAACGCCCCAGAGTGATTCTAAATCGTACTTTAATCTTGTAGAAGGTAGAAACAAATGAAGAAAAATGGTGCCTGAAAAGAAGACACACAAGGATAAAAGGTTAATTTGCAGTTATCATCACTAACTTTACAAAGACACGAATCATTAAGTGATCTCCAGTGCTGTTAGAGTAGTTCTCATTTTCCGATTGCCCCGCCAAAAAGGGTGCTTCTTTAGGAACCTGAAAAAGCTGCTGGGTTAGAAGTGGTCGCGACGACCCAGAAGCGTGGTTGTAGCGCTTAGAGGACAACCGCCTGAGGCCGGTCATGCACGACCCTTTGGTACTTTTAGTTGTGCTAGCCTCGTATATTTACGGCCTCATCGCCGGCGATAGGAATCTGTCAGGTAAGGTGTTCTATTTCCAGGGCTGGAATGCAATTACACTAATTATGGGATTTCCTTAGATTCAGTCATTATTGATGCAGGGGGTGCATCGGTCCAAGTTGTCACATCCTACGAAGTCAACATAGAGGACAAAGCAATCAGCAAGATGAGAAGCGTAGGATAGTAAATAGTATTTAGAACAGTGAATACATAAGCGTGAATAATACGGTTCGAAAGGAGCAAACGCATCTGAAAGATGGAAATTCGGGAATAACTTCCTAAAATCACCTAACATCAGATCATAGTGTATGCAATGTAGAGTCAGCTAGACTAGTGACCACATTACAACTTTATCGACAGAATTCGATCAACATTAAAGGACTAAACAAATGTATATTACTAATCAGTAGTCAATCAATTGTACCTTTCTCAATAGTAACATCTCAGACTAGGGAATTAAGTGACACGGGTTTAAATCCCACAATGAGCACCAGTCCTAAAATTACAAGTATGCCCCGATGACGAGCGCCAATTAGCATGGAACCCAGGTCTATGGTTTTCTACTGACTACTTCCGACAACTAAACAGATTGAGAATAACTAAGACCATGACGGAGGATGAGTGCAACTGTACACTCCAAAAGAGTACGACTTACACATGATATTTAAATATTCAAGTAGCTACTGATGACGGTACATGTCTAAATAATCTTACCAATAAATTGGATTAATTTAAAGAGAATCTCACCACATACATATTTGAATACTATTTATTTTAATATCTCGTCGGTCATGACAAAAAAGGCATTTTGTGTTCTTGAGAAGACGGAGTTGGATAGTTTTGGTGTACCTTTTTAGTCACTAATCTTCACGTTGGTTAGATTCAAAACTATCATTAATTATTACAATCCACTACATGTGTACATCATCTACTGTTATACAATGAAAAAAGATACTTTAAAACAAAGAGTGCGAGTTTGTGTGCAAGAAGTCTACGAACTATATTTTTTTTGCACAATTATCTAATTATAATCGTGATAGGTGTTATATAGCTTGAGATAGGTCACACTGGCGTAAATGTACTCATTCTTAATCGTCGTCTTTCAAATCTTAAGCTTCAATATTACCTCGTACTTATCATTCTTGGGACTTATTTTTCCCAAACTATACTGGATGATAGTATTTTGACTACTTTAATTTCTACCTTTGTGATTTTTCATCGGTATCTACTGACATGAAATATGACAATTCAAACTAGTGCAGAATTAATTCATTTTTGTATTGGTTGTTTGAATCTTCCTATTGATGTTTAGGGCTGCAACTGATCAGTCTCCTATTGGTATATGTGCATCCTGTGAGGGTTACCTTGATATTGCATTAAATGACAAGCATTATAAACAGAGAGATTTAAGGCAATATCGAGCCAATCCGCACATGATGTACATATGCCAATAGGAGACTGATCAATTGCAGTTCTAAACATCAATAGGAAGATTTAAACGATCAATACAAAAATGAATTAAAATTTCACCCCACTGCACAAGCTAGTGGCTATTTGGACTTAGTAGCTAAGAGAATAGTGCGATGGCATTTGAAGCGAGTGGACATCAACTCGGATGCAGGTACATCCAGCCGACGAGTCCCAGGTAGGACGAAACGCGTCCTGGATTTCACTGCTAGACATCATCCATCTTTGCCTGTAACGCTGAATTACTTCAAGTGCTACGTTGCTTATAACAGATCGTCATAATACTAATAGAACTCACTATTATTCAGTATTTGAACTGGTTAAACTATTTACTGATCATATAATATATTTTAACTATTCTAGATGTAGAATAAATTACGTATTGGTGGATTGATCCCTTAAATTTTTGTAGGCTCATGTCCCTTTTTCCCTCTTTCCAAATTTATTTCACTGGATTATACTCTTTAAATAACACCTCCAAACCCTAATCTTCCCGATTACTGCTTATACTCTTGCTACCTCTACCACTACGGGATTTGGATCGACAACTGCATCTCTGTGCTAAGGTGGTGTGGCAACTCGAACTGATGTACGTACGTACGAAGTTCTACGTTGTTACTGACTGACTGAGGCTCATCAGAAATACGAAATAAAATGTATTCAGTTTGATTTCGCTTACTCATATCGACAGCTATCCACTCGCAGGACCCATCGATTCCGTGGAACAATGGTATTGGGATACTTGTATTCCTCAATTTGTATTTTAACTAGGATTGATATTTAATAGAAAAAAGTGAACTCATAAATATGATCATATTTACAAAGGGATTGTAGAGAAAAGTTTGCCATTACACAAAGACCTCCCAAGCTTAGTATAGCTGTTAGGACGAGAATTTACTACTTGATAAGTGATTAATGAA